ATTAATTACATAAACAAAAAGTGCCTACAGAGCCCTTGTACGTCTAGACAAGTCTCGTTTCCTTATCTAAGGCGAGAGAGAAACAGAAATAAAGATTCTCGTGGGATAAAAATAAACGGTAGATGATTTAGTAGAAACATTTGACAACAATAACAGCAGTCTCTGCGCTTTTGTGTTTGCTTTAAGTAAATGCGTCTAGTTCTGCCATCTATTTCAAATTGGCATTCACCGCTGAGTTTTCAAAGGAATTGAAATTAACATATACAACGGACATAGCATAATCCTAAAATAAACATGGAATCTGAGAAAAAAACAAGACGATGTTTACTGCCCATCTTAAAAGGCAAAATAATTAGTCTTTTTTTTTCTTTTTCCATGTTTAACTGCATTCCAGTGCCAACCTTCACAAACATATCTTTCTGAGGGAAAATGTAAACCAATGGAATAGGAATAAAGCAACGAGTGAGAGAAGCCTACACCTCAATCAGCGCCTCAAACAAAAAGACAGGTTACAATTTCGGATTGGACTCCAGTGAGAGAGTTATGATCAATGGAGGTTTGTACTGCAAACTTTCTCTTTCAGATGTTGATTGAACTGCTGAGCATTTCCAGCAGTCTTTGTTTTTATTTCAGATCTCCAGAAGTCGCAGTTTTTCTTTTTATCTCCAATGATATAGGAATGCAAAACATGCACGATCCTGTGGAGTTTTAAAGCATTCTTGGAGCTAATAGAGGTAGCAGGCGATCATACTTTACAGACGAAAGCGATCTTATGCAATTATGTAAACTATTGATTTTGTTCGAATAGCTGAAACATGCATTATGTAAACGTAATGTTCTGCAAATGTAGTTATGACCTAACTTGTTAGCGGTGCATTTAAATTTGGTGTTGGACTTTTGTAGAGATTAGAGTGCAGTGGTCTGTGTCAAGGAATGGATTAACCCCAGTGAGAGAGTCTGGTGCAGATCACAGCACTGAAGAAGGCTCACACTAACTTTCCTCCATCAGCTTCTAAACAATACTCATCCAGCATCCAAACTCTGGTCTGTATCAGAAAATCAGTGAGTGATCAATTTAGCACTTAGCCAGTCGTTGGCTGCTGGTAAGGCAGGTATTATTTCAATTATAGGAGGAGTCAATTGTTTTTTTTACACACCTGAAATAGTTCTAAAAGAAACAACACAGTGACAGGTCGGTCGCTGAGCTTGAGAGGGAGCAGAGCAATTGGATCAGAGCACAAATTGGATGTTGAGTAAGAATGCAATGGCCTCTGGAGGAAGTGACTAAATGTTTGTGTTTGGTTTAGCTGATCTTTCAGAATTGTCGGTTTAATACAGCTGATGGCCATGTTCTGCGGAAATTGGACCATTTAGGAGTTCCAGGGCACTTCTTCATATCAGGAATGATCACACGTATGAGAAGTGTTTGTAAATGCTTACACTCAAGTTCAAAGTTTCAGAGTCTGAGAACTAACCAGGGACACTCAGCCGACTGTGAGAGGCGGAACAATTCCTTGAACCTATGTTCCAGAAGATGTCACCCCTCTGGTAGTTAGTGAGGTGACCATTCATAGGGTAGCAGTAGACGGGAGGAAGATTCTGTTAATGTTAACTTGTCAAATAGATATGTAGCAGTGAACATCAATGACAAGGACAACATTCCAAAGAGAACTGGACTAAGGGAGAAATCAAAATATAGAGTGCCTCTACTGAGCAGGCGGACACCTGAAAGCCAGCAATGTTGGTATCAGTCTTCACATGTGTCTCCTGAAGTAATACCATGTTCTTTCCAGTCCAGTACCTCAGTGAGTAGTACTCTCCCCAAATGTTATGGTTTAGGCCACATGTTAGGACATTGAGATGTCTGAGTTCACAGTCTAGTCTGACACTCGGTGCAGTGCAGTGTCAGAGCTGCTGATCCTCCAGATGAGATAGATGGACGTTAAAAATCCCATAACATTATTTGTAAACTGAACGGTGTTTCTTCTGGTGTCCTGGCCAAAATGTGTTCAGATAAAATTGATTATTCACATCATTGGTGTTTGTGTGCGCAAAATGGCTGAAACTTTCATTTACAAATGCACAGTAAACTCTTGTGAAGCGCTTTGAGATGTCTCAATGACATGATGGCACAATAGATCACAAGACTGATTGAAAGAAGATCAAGCGCAATGATTATAAGTGAGGTGGGGAGGTCTTAAACTAATATGGCAGTTGGGAAGGGGAAAAAGAAGAGTGAGGAGAAAGGAAATAAACATTGGGGGGAAGGAGAAATTAATGCAGAAAAGTAATGTAAAAGGAGTAAATAACTAACTAGCTTAGTCTGGGGATGGACTTGGAACCTGATATTCCTGGTTGCAACATTTTCAGGAGAGGAAAAATCAGAAAGGTGGGTTGGCTAATCAAGATTTCACTGCAGCATTGGATGATAATAAAGGATGGTGTAAACACGTTTTTTTAAGAAGTTAAGGAATAAGAATGACCTTAGTCTTCAGAATTTATGAAAGAACACTAAGAGTTGAAATGAGACTGAAAAGATGTGAAGAGATGAAACAGTGTCTTTCACATCGGGAAGACATCTCAAAGAGCTAAACAGGATATACTGCAAAGTGTAGCAACTGTATGTTTTTATAGGGGACCACAGCAGTCAATTTGCAATGTCTCACAAAATAGCCATAGAGTGAATTATCATTTTTTTATTTGGGGGTTTGTTGGCCAGGACACCTTCTCTTTTATAAATGGTATCATCGAATTGTTAATTTCCACCTGAATAGGCAGATGAGAACTCAGTTTAACATTGCATCGAAAGGAAGATGTGTCCAACAATGCAGCACATCCCGGCAGTGTCATGAGTTCAGTGCCCCGATAAGGAGCTTGAACCCAAGCGATGCACAGAAATAACAGTGTCATAATAATGGGTTACTTGAATTATCCAAAATAAGATGCAATAAAAATAATATGTGGCTAAAAAGTGTTTCTACAATTTGTCCAGGACTACCTTTTTGATCAATATGGTTCTAGTCCATCAATGTAGGAGGCACAGCCTGGTCTAGTTTGGTGGAATGGGCAGAAAAGTAATCCAAGAGGAGAACATTTAGCAAGCAGCTAAAAAAATAATTAGGTTTGATTAAAAAAGAAAAGGAGGGAGAGCAGTCAAAGATAAGGTAATGAGGTGATAAGAAAAAGCAATAAGATTGTAATTAAACAGTTGGAAATCTTCAAATATAAGATAGGTAGAATTCATATCAGATTTAGTTCCACAGAAATAAAGAGGTGCATCAAAAGCTACGGTTCCTTTTTTGAATCGATTGGAATATAGAGAGAGAAAGGGGAAAAAAATAGGAAGTTTTAAAATTTTCAGAGGATGAGGAAAATTAACATTAGCATAAAAGGAAATAGTAAATGATTATATAAACACATAAAAAGTAAAACAATAGTAAAGAAAGAGTAAGACCAATTTCAGATAAAAAAGAAATCTTGTCTTGGAGGATAAAGGAATAGCAGGGGTAATAACTCCTGTTGACCTCAGGAGTATGATACAAGGGTATGATAAGGGTAGAAAAGAATGAGGTATAACAATATGACTTAACAATATGATGAAATTCAAAGTCTGATCAACTTAACATAGCAGTGAATAAAATAAATACGAGCTATAGCATAGGATAAAATTAATAATTACCTCGAGAAGCATGGACAGACAGTGTATGTAAAAAAAACTATTGTTGGACAAATGTATTAACTTCTTTGAGGAAATCCCTGGTATATGAACAAAAATGAATGAATAACTAACACGTGTGTGGTAGTGGATGTTGTAGGTATGGATTTGCAAAGATGTTGGAGTACTAAAACTGACCCCTGAGTAACATCACTGTTTACATCCCTCCAAACTGATCCATTTCCCCTCTAATCCGTTTTCTGTCGTTAAGACAACCTTTTATTGACACTGCTATTCTTTTTATTACCATGCATTTTATTCTTTTTAACTAAGCTCCTAAAATGACACCCTAAGGTGTTCAAAATATGAGTCATTTTGATAAGATAAATAGGGAGAAACTGTTTGATGAGTGGATAATTATAGAGAGCATACATTAAATAATTCCCACCCCCACCCCCAAAAAAGGGAAAGGTTAAAGGACGTGTTATCCTTTACGTACAGAGTGTTATTTGGACATGAAATGTACCACCAATACAATGGTTGAAGCAGAATCAATAATAGCTTTCAAAAGGGAACAAATATTGGAACTGAACAAATATTATATGATTTATTTATATTTATAAATCTAAATAAATCTAAATGTTATAAGAGGATATGGGGACCGAGGGCAGTGGGGTTTAAGAGGGCAGATGTGCCAGAGAGGAACTGTAGGGTGAATGGGTTGGTTCTGTGCTGCTCTCTTGAGAGTCTCCCATCGACTCCCTCCAGAGTGTACCCCAAAGCGCACGCGCACTCAGCTCCGAACGACCAGGCCAGGTCTGCGCAGGCGCCTAAAAAAAAAACACACCAGTGCCCGTTATCGGCCGGAGCAGCAGCAGTGACGTCAGCGGTCGTTGATTGGCCGAGTTCCGAGGGCTCCTGGATACGGAGGCTCGGAGGCACCATATTAATTGACAGTGCGGGACTCGATCTGGAAGAGTTGTGAAGCGAAGTGCTGAGCGTGGGGAGGATCTCCCGGGGTGTGAGAGGAGAGGAGAGGAGAGCAGAGGAGAGGCGGAGACCTGTGCACCCACTCTGGTGGCACTGCAAAAAACCCATCTCCGCAACTTGAGTCAGCAGAACACTAACTAACTTTTCATCAGCAGTTTTGCTTTTCACTCAAATCCCACCAATATCTTTCCGATTGACTTGTTGGACAAAAATTTTAAATTGGTGTTTTTTCTCCCGCACAAAAACAAGACAAACCTCAGTAGTAACAGCCCATCCTGACTTTATGAAATAATCGGCGTCTTGAGAAGTTTGGACATTTTTTTTTGGGGGGGGGTGGTGGGTGGGGTAGGGGTGGGGGTGGGGGTGGGGGGGAAGAAGGTGGTGTTCTTCCTTTAATCATGGAGTACATCATTCCCAAACCGCAGCTTTCGTCCCGGGCTAATGCTTTCTCCATCGCTGCTCTCATGTCAAGTGGAAATTCCAAGGCGAAAGAAACCGAAGAAAACACAATTAAACCACTTGGTAAGTCAAGGCTTTAACCCAACTTTCCAGTGTCACATCTAAATGAGTCACTTTTTTTAAAAAAAAAACAAGAGTCACCTTTCCCTATATTGTTCTTAAATATCCCAGGAGCTGAAGTTAAGTTATTTTGAATGGGGGGGGGAGTGGGGGGAAGGGGGGAGGTGGGGGGTGGGATGAGTGTAATTGTTGGGAATAATGTGTAATGAAGCGGGGCGTGAATGTTAGCCAAGGATCAGAGATTTGTTCATTAATATGCTTCACCATTGAGTGCATCTTCCTTTTGCCGTCAATAACATCAACTGTATTTTCAACAAAGCGTCGAAACAAAATAATTATAAACAAAGTATTTATCGTAGTGCTAAAACCAATTGATTGCGTGATGCTGGACAGAAAGCCGTATATATCACGATATGGGGGGGATTTGCTCCGAAGAAAATCGCTATAAGTTCAGTAATTTTATCTGCGTGGGGCGTCTTAGTGGGATTGTTAAATTTCTCGTTACAAAATATATTCGGTTCTCCTGAAGTTGGTCTGGAGATGTTAAACTTAGCTGTGAATGCTTTATTTCCTTAATAACACGTCTTTAATTCGAGGTACGATAGTAGTTGCAGTAATGATATATGTGGTCATGGTTTGGTACGGTTTGATTATCACTACGAAACTGATTTTCACTGCAACATGTAGACTATGTAGTACATCGCTTTTACCGCTTTTTTTTGAAACAGAGCAGTTTGTGGAGAAGTCGTCTTGCGTTCAAACCTTGGGTGACCTGAGCAGCCTGGAACACAAGGATTTCAGTGAGAATGCAGCTGCCGTCTGCACAGAGCCGCTCATCCCCACGATCCCCACTGTCCCCAGCGAGGAGATGGCCAAAATCACCTGCAACCTCGAAACCAAAGAGTTGTGGGACAAGTTTCACGAGCTGGGCACTGAAATGATCATCACCAAATCTGGCAGGTGAACCAAACAAACAGCATTATATTTCTCCAGTCAACCAATTGCGATTAATTAATATCATAGATTGGTTAGTAATGTTGCATTAAATTTCTGTCTTCCACATAGCGTGACATTATTTATTTAAAATCTGAAATAACTATCAATTATCTATCTACCGGTTGATCATTTCATATTAGCAACAGTTTCAGATTAAGTCTGAAATACTGTATGTATATATATATGGATATAGCTACCATTTGAATGGCATTGGGCATTTGCAACACATCGTAATTTTATTGTAATATATAAATCTGGTAACGTCAATGCTCACTGCGCCATATATCTCCAACTGCGCTCTGCAATCTTCCATCATATCAAACATCATGACCAACTTGCACTTACGCAGGAAAGCGTCTCGAAGCGCTTTTATGGGAGAAGTCATTCATTTTCTATCGGTATAATTCTAATGTGCTGTCAGCCACGGCAATGTCGAGATGTTTGTGTAATGAACATGAAACCTTTTATGACTAATCTAATTATGCGATACTAGATTTTTTTGACAAGATTTCGGGATCACATAGGTCCTTTTTCCCCACTCTAAGTGCCCGTACAAAGTAGGATCGTTGTCAATTTTTGAGTGTAAGTGACTGAAAAGCCATCCAGGTTATTATACCAAACTTCCTTGTTCTCAGTATGATAGTGTTCTGCATAAGACAGAAACCATTTGTGATACTTCAAACGAAACGTAGTTTAACTGCGGGACTCTTACCCTTTTGATGTAACTTTAATTACGTCGAAACAAAGCGAGGCTTTAAATGAACAAATTAGTACCGTATTGTAAAACAACCAAATAAATCGAAACCTGAATGAGACGATCAGTCTTAGAGAGCAATTATAAATAACACATTGTAATGAATACATAGTAAACAGAACCATTGTAATAACAATACATTGATGTGTAAATGATACATGTTAAATTAACTCAGTATTACCATATAGGTTTTTTGCAGTGTAACTAGAGTAATTCTGTTCAATCCAATTGTTATACAGTGTATTAGGTGATTGCAGGGATGTTTTTCTGCGGCAATGTTGTCCTTGGAGTGTAAAATACATTCCACAGCGCAATTTTTTTTAAAAAATCTACCTTTTATGCCCTTCTCAATAGAACAATGCACATTATTTTCCTAATATTTTCCGCGATATTTTAATTTCGAAATTAATTACTGAAGCAAATAATTTCAGATACTGTACATTAAAAGTGGCGGAAATCAATTGAATACCGTACACGAACACGAATCCATTCCTGCCTGCACCCACGCTATAGTCTTTTTTTCGCTTCACAGTCACGGGGGGGGGGGGGGGGGGGGATCTTAAGATTTAAACATGATGTATAAACAGCAATAAGTATTCGATAGTGTGAGAGGTTGAGAAGACACATTGATGAATTAAACGACTCCCCCATCTTGTTTCAGGAGAATGTTTCCTACTATCCGTGTGTCATTCTCCGCGGTTGATCCCGAAGCAAAATACATCGTCCTGATGGACATCGTGCCTGTGGATAACAAGAGATATCGCTACGCATATCATCGCTCCTCTTGGCTTGTGGCCGGGAAAGCCGACCCACCATTACCTGCGAGGTGCGCACATAACAGTGCAGTGCTGTGTTAAAGCAAAGCATGTGTGCAGAGCCAAGCCCAGTGCATAGCCCCGCAAACCTATATCTCGACGTACCTATGTCTCAGCATGTTTCATTCGTTTAATTATTAAAATTACACCCCTCTCCAGTTTATGCATTCACAATAATATTTTTTTGATTCACAAACCTACAACAGCAGCGCTGGAAATACCATGGAATTCAGAAGGGTGAAGGAGAGGGGGTGGGGGTATCAACTTTAGAGAATGGGCGTTATAATTCCCCGCCTGTGAAATCTGATCTTAGACCCAAATATGCTGCCAGTATTTTTTGTTGGTCGGAAATATTTCGTTAAATACGACGCAAGAAAAGTAGCGCTGCCTTGGGAAGGCTGTTTAATGGCTGGTTGTGGGTACACTGGGAATGGTCGTATTACAATTCATGGAAATAAGGCAGAGTTAGAATGTGTTCAGAGGAGCATTTTCTCGGCGTTGTTGACGAGGCTGGTCGGCGGGGGGTGGGAGGAGAGGGGGGGGGGGGGGGGGGTGTTGTGAGGGTGTAGGAGGGGGGCGGTTGTTCTTGAGCTAATAATGCTACAAAGGCAGTGAACTGACTGAATTGCCTCGTTCACTTCTCTTCACCTCCAGGCTTTACATTCACCCCGATTCCCCTTCACAGGGGAGCAGCTGCTGAAACAAATGGTGTCCTTTGAAAAAGTGAAACTCACTAACAACGAGCTGGATCAGATTGGCCACGTGAGTTATACCTGGTCTTTCATTCCATAACTCAGCACCAAAGGCCAATCTGGACTAAAAGGCACAAGATCAGTGCATGTTGTGGTCCAATTGCCAAAATTATTTCAAATAACTTACCTTCCCAGTTGGACTTTAGTTGTTAACAGGGTATGATACCCACCTGAAAATGTGAAAGCGGGGACGCGTGTGTGTTTCAAATAATCCAGGGGCTCAAGAATATCAAAGTGTGAAAATATAAATATTGTGGAGAAAGTTAAAATTAATCTGAAATACAGTATAAACGTGGAAAATGCTAGAAATCCACAGAATTATCTGAAAGAAAGATCTTTTTAGGTTTTCGGGTGTGAACTTTCATCAGAATATTGCACCTTGCAGTGAGCTTTTAACTATCGTGAAATGTAAGGTGACCAGCCATTCAAAGAGCTGGGAGTGTTTCTTTGTGTTTTGTTATTACAGTCGCCTACAAACTCAATATAATGTATTCAATGACTGTGAGATTTGTGTGCACATTGGTAACAAATTGGTTTCTGGCACTTCTTGGTCTGCTTTACAGATCACTTTTCTCTTACATTCCATTAAGCTGGAAATACTGAGGTTGTCTTTCTAAATCTGGAGCCCTGTCTTGATTGTGCCAACCTTCTTTTACAGTTTTACTCTTTGGTCCATTTAAATGTGACTGCACTAGACTACAATCTTAGCAATGGTAAGCATAGAGATGCTTCCATTTGCCTTCAGCTATTCAATATTCTCTCAATCAATGGTGGCCAACCATTTTGGGTGTTGGCCAACAAAATAAGTTGCGTATTTTGTTACAAATTCTGAATATTTCTTAATTTATGGCATAAACCTCTGCCATTTTGTTATTTATATGATTACAGTGTTTGGCCAACCAAAAAGCCTGGGTTAATAGAGGAGGACAAACTATTCACAACCCAGGATACATGCTCATTTGTCATATTCTCCAATTCCACAAACAGCATGGAGTTCAAATGAATGAATAGAACTACAGATAGTACCCAATGTAGTAGAGAGCCAATTATCGGCCCAAATCAGGACGGTCCTTCATCTCTCCTCCTTGGTTGTAGAGCCTTTCATCCACACCTTTATCACATCCAGGATCAAATATTCCAACACCATGCTTGCCTGATTCCCCAGTTCCTCTCTACACAATCTGCAGGCAATCCATAACTCTACAGCATGTGTCATCTGCTGCACCAGACTCAGTGGGCCCATCACCCATGCCCAGCTGATCATATTCAAGATCTTCTTGCGCATTTTCAAATTCCTCAATGGCCTTGCCCAACCAACTCTACCTTTGGAAACTCCTGCAACCCTATTGCCTTTTCTCTCTATTTCTGTCTCTAATTTTCTATCTTCTGTCTCTCTCCCTCTGATTTTTTTTCTATCTCTCTGGCTTTCACTCTCTCTAACTTTCTTCTCTGCCCCCTATCTACCCAGCACTACCCTCCACCTTACCTGTACCTAAATAAAAACTTACTTTTATTTACCAGCTCACACAGGTAAATGAAATCTCTCTTAACCTTGCCTGCATGTTCACAATTTTTTTTGCCAATGTCACAGCCCTGTGTTTCATGTGGGTATGCAGTGTTCTACTGTAATCCTAAACAATATATAAAATTGGCAGTTGGTGAGTCTTAATTAGGGTTTAACATGAAAATAAGATGGTGCCGGGTGCCACTTAGATTGCAAATTTTGCATGTGCTGATCCTAGGTTAAAATTTGTATTATGTACCTGATAACAATGAACATTAGTTCATATTTTTTAATCGAATGAAGACGTTTAAGGGCCAAAGATATAGATCAGAGAGGGGAGAATTTGTGAGCCACAGTGAGGTCATGGCCATATTTATGGTCAGAAAGAATATGGTTTAGGAAAGTGATCACCTCAGGTGAACTTAATCTCATCAGTGTAAAGAAGAGCACAAAGAGCGAAAATAGTGTACAAGATTGGAGGTTTACATTACTGTATATTGCTGTGTCAGATATAAATATTGTTTTGGGCCTTTTTCTTATGCCAACAGTCTGACATGCTACTTTTATGTTGTCAGTTTGTCTCTGGAGACAAGCCTGTCTTGAAACAACTAAAAATATTCAGTAGGCATTTTATCTGGCTCCAGATCCAGCAAGACCAAACTAGGAGTCAGATTGTCAGTTGCCTCTATATTCCAGAGCTCCAACTCAATACTGTAAACTTATCAAGTCAGAGCAAGTAGACCAGACAATGTTTTTGACACCATCATATAAGTATTGCTCTGATGCCATGAGAATTGTTCATGTGTGAACTGCCACTTCAGAGGCTCATGGCACTTCCCCTTGTCAAATAGTAGTTGCAGAATCACAAAAAATCAGCCAAATCTTTCATCCTCTTCTAGCATTATCTGACAGGAGAACACCAGCCAACAATTCTAATGAAATTCATGCCTGTGTGAACACTTTGGCATTTTCTAGAAGCTTACAAAAATATGTTCTCACCTACGGAGATTATTCAGGTGTTGTTAAAAGCAGCGACCCCAAGAACCATAGTATAACACACATTTAGATATTTTCTCACTACTCCGTCTTCCTATTGTATCCCTCTAGACATTTATTTTTCCCTCAACTGGCCTTTTTGAAATGGGTTTAAGGTAGAATTTCACACCTTTTAAAAATATGTGAAATGTTGGGCAAGTTTTCTTACTCCACATACCTCTGCTTACCTAGCAGTAAGGAGGAACCTGGTTGTTAGTTGATTGGCGGATCGCTTTTCTGGAGATAATAATGCTTCAAAAAACAATAATAATAATTTGGACACTCAATCCACTGTTTGTAGGATACTGCAGTGTGCAATTGGCTGCGACATTTCACCCATAAGACATACAGTCAATTCACTTTACAATATATTCTGTAAAGCCCTTTGAGACGTCTAGAAGACGTGAAAAGCACTATATCAAATACAAGGATTATTATTATTATATATTGTTTTACCTACTCTTGTTGTCTTTTCTTCATTATCTATTACCACTATTTCGCAATATGCTACATCTATATATTCAATGATGTTTAACTTCCAAACCCCCGAGTCCTCCTCTCCACGTTCGGTGGCTGTGCCTTCAGCTGCTATGCCCCGAGGCTCTGGAATTCCCTTCCTCACTCCCTTCACCTCGTCCCCTCTCTTCCTATTTTCAGGTCTCTGCTGAAGACCTTTCTCTTCGACCGCGCCTTTGGTCACCTTCCTCCCCCTCCCCCTGGCTCGTTACTGTAAAGCGCTCTGAGATGCCGTCCGGTGTGGAGGTCGCTACATAAATCCAAGTTGTTGTTGTGTTGGTTACTCGAATCCTAGTTTCCCTCTATTTTAAAGCAGCTTTCCCTGCCACCGTTTAGTTTGATGAAAGTTCATATCAGACATTAAACAGTCGTTTCTCTTTCAAATGCTCATCGGCCTGCTTTGCATTTGTAGCATTTTCTATTTTAAAATGTGAACACATCTGATTAAATGCCAGTCCTCTTACACACAAACACACTATGTTGTAAACGTGAGCACAGGGAAAGCAACATCAGCTCGAATACTCCAGGGTATATAAAAACCTATGAATTTCCTATATTGTAAGAGAGAATGAGATAGCATGTTCACTGAACGGGGACATTTAAGTAAACAATAATTAGAGGGCTTTTTGTCACAATTGTTAGCTTGGTTGATGTTTGGTTCAATGGATCGAAGCTACCATGCTAAGGCTCATTGTTTTAGTCTCCTTTGGAAGCCCTGTGTAAGGGTTGTGCAGATTTGCTTTCTGAAATGTTGTCGATGAAACCTCCCAAGGAAGGAAACAAAAGAAACAATAAGTACATAATCAGAAGGAACAAAACTCTGAAAATCTGAAACAAACATCACAAAACTTCGAAAATAGTAATAACAGGTCAATTGCAATCGGAAAGAAAAAAAAGTTAACGTTTGTGAAATATTGAACCAGATTTCTCTCCATGAGAGTAACTTTAACCTACTGCGTATTGATAGCATTTTTTCTGTGTTTTTTTAAAAAATTATAACGTATACTTATTTGGCTACGAGTGTAACTATGATGAATGACTTTTGCAGATAATATTAAACTCGATGCATAAATACCAGCCCCGGGTGCACATTATTAAAAAGAAGGATCACACAGCCTCTCTGGTTAATCTGAAGTCAGAGGAATTCCGCACCTTTATCTTCACAGAGACAGTGTTCACGGCAGTCACCGCCTATCAGAACCAACTGGTGAGTCTCACATCTGAGTATTTATTTTAACTAATGTCCTATCAGCTCGAAGGCGATTTGCAACTGAGTTTTTCAACAATCACTCCAGCACCTGGGAATAGTGTTCCAGAGTATAATCGGGAGCTCAGAACATTTCACCAAATCACTAAATGCCAAGTCCGCTTTGAAACCATTTATTCTTCCTCAAATACGTTCTTAACAAAAATGAGTTAGCACATGGACAAGAAACTGACTTGCTGCGTTTTTGGCAGCTTTCACAAAATCATTCAACAAATCTCAACTCTCATGATTTGCTACATCTGTAAATATGTAGACGTGGGTACATGCAGCAGTCGGTATGAGTTTGCCTATAAAAAATACTCAGTCACTACACTTTGCACCAAGGCAGTGAAAGTGAAGCGCTTTGAGATGTCCTCCGGACCATAAAGACGCTACGTCAAATGTAAGGAATATTATTCTATCTTGAACTTTCCAAATGTCATCAAAGCGAGAAAATTCACTGTTAAAAATGACTTCCAAACAGGTAAATTAATATTTTAAAACTTAAGTCAGTTTGCACTCACTCACTCACACACATATACACACACACACACACACACACACAAGTATATAATACACACACAGCACATGTGTAAAAATGGGCCATAATATACTCGAAAATGATTCGTTTCTAGACAAATCGTATTTAAATTGGTATAAAGTGAGAACACCGCAATCAAACGAGGTTCGATGTGCAGAGCAGAACAGCAGCAGAGCAGATTAGATAAAGTACAACTCAACATGATCTTGTACCCCTCCGACCACCCCCCACCCCCCCAACCCCACAATTTCACAGCACCTAAAATATTTTCCCTGTCGCTCGAGTCGCGGGTTGTTTCCCGTACAGCATTCTCTCGCCAAACTGTGCAGAGTAAAGGGAGGTGAGTGCAGGAGAAAATTACAGAACGACTGAAATAAAATGCTGAAACAAACACCTTCTCTGTCCTCTCTGAGCTCTGCACATCCGGAATACGTGGCAGTGGCGTTAGCTTGTCTGACTTATAAGGTCACACAGTTTCAGTTTAGATATTCAAGCGTATATTAGCTATTATTTTTTTGTCTTTGATATAGGATTATTGTAAATTGTGTTCATTCACTTTTATCCACTATTTTCCCTGCAATGTGTGGGTTGTGTTTCTCTCTTCAGATTACCAAACTGAAAATCGACAGCAATCCTTTCGCTAAAGGATTCCGGGATTCTTCAAGACTGACTGATATAGAGAGGTACTGCTTCCAGGAGTAAGGTTATTTATTTACTCTAAGATAAAGTACAACATGATCATTTTTTTTAATTTTTGAATAATCATTTCTTTCAACATAAACATGAATTAAATTCCCCCCCCGTTTGCAGTTCTGATGATCTCTGGTTAGACTTCTCTCTCTCACTCAGATACTCTGATCGCTTGGGAGGATGGTACAGACTGTAACAGTTTAGCTCCATATTAACAGGCTCTGGTAAATCAGCAGGTCTTGTTGATATGTTTACATTCAGGAGAGTTACCCCATTGACCAGCCGACAGCCTAGTCAAACCTCAGCCGTGTAACAAAAAATAATAGCTAATATTAACATAGAAAATAAATTACACGCTGCGAGATTTCTTTAATTTTAAAAACTAGCTAATGAACAAACAATCTGGGAGAAACTCAAAGCCTTTCAAGACTCAAAGTGTCTTGGAAGTCAGTACAGCCGTGAGTGTTAAAGCGGACACTGTACAACTAGAGAAATGCCAGTAAAGAAACTGTGGGGAAAATGCAGTGCTCTCTGAGGCAGTGGGTGTTTCTATGTGATACAGATCATCAGTAAAACGTAAAACTAATTGCTTCTGCGATAAACGCCCTTGTGAAGAAGGAATGTCTTAAATCTTCGCTAACTCTTCCCTGTGATCAATGTTCTGCAATGTCATCACTTGCAGGGGTAAAGGACTGTAACGTGTCTGTTTTTAATGTTTTGCCTTTTTCCTGGGGGGATTCTTTGAACCAGTTTTGTTTTATTGGCATGCATGCACGCACAGGGTTGCTGAAGTACTTATTCGGTACAGACTTGCCGAAAAGGTACCCCCGGGTTGCCAAGGATGTTAGCGTTAGAGTTTATCTGTGGGATCCGCGTACTGTTCAGTGTCTTATTGAGGAAACGCGGCCCTGTGAGGGAAGCGGACATCTGCAATGTGAAGTACAGTATCCGATGTCAAAACGGATCTAAAGCACATACTAAAGCACATACTAAAGCACATACTGCACCCGACTCCGCTAAAAGCCGAGTCTCCTGCTGCTAACACCGAGGTTACGGCGGGGCCGGTTTTGCTAATGTCTTTATTTAAAAAAAAGTGTTTGACAAAAAAGGGATTCACCGCAACTGTGGCAAGTCAGCGATTGCATAAACCTCTCAACCACTCCTGGATGGTTTCCAGAAATCCAATTAAGCTGTATTTGTGAGGAATTCACAGTTATGTATTTTATATATAAATAGTTATATATTTTCTCATATATATATATATATAGAGAGAGAGGTAGAGAATGACATTTACGATTCCCTTTTGGCTTCTGATAACCTTACCTCATTACATGTAGGAGGAGATGGGACCCAAAAACCAGCATCAGCTAAAACTGTATTTGGCCAAATGCCGCTAGATCGGGTATTTGCAATGTTTAGGCGGAGAAGTAGAAATGTCTGCAGCTTTGCAACCGCTCCGCCCGCCCGTCAGTGTTTAAAAGTCCCATTTGTCTAAACACTCTTCAGGGAGAGAATTGGATCTGATCAATTGCTCTTCAGAGACGGCAGAAATGTGATTAGTCTGCAGTCAGCTCCAAACGGCCCAATAATTCGATCCTTCCTTGTAACTGATTGAAAGCTGCAGCAAACAGCCCATTCATTCCCTGCCCAGACCTTCAGATAAAACATGTTTAAATTATAAATTGACAGCTACTCTATTCCCCCTCCCAACCCCCCCCCCCAGCGAGGCAAATAGCAGAAAGCACAAGCAAATGGTCAGATGAAGAGCCGTCCATAGACCTGTTTACGGCTAATGCGGACTGTCGCACTTATTTATGGCTTTGAAACGAGCAAAAAATGCATCAGTTGTGATCTGGAATGGCACAGCTCGGTTTGCAGATCTCCAAAGCGCCGAAGCCAATTTAGTCCATGTGCGGGAGGGATATCAGCGTTTACTGTCAACTGTTACTGACTTCTAATCATGAAAAAAAAGCAAACGACAAACCCAGTCACAGCACATGTAAGTGAGGCATCCGATGTGGGAAACGCAACGAAGTTAAAGGTGAACGTTTAAATTGCGCGTTAAGTGTTAAGATTTTATGAACCATTAGCATCTTGTGATCATCTGACCTCCACCTGTCTGTGTGTGTGTGGGGTGGGGGGGGGGGGGGCAGGAAGAAGGGGGGCACATGAGGTTTCTGTCACACAGTGTAATCGAAATAATAATGCTAAACAGAGTGTGTGCACTGGTGTGTGTTAAACTTGTTGCGATTTTGTGTTAAATTGATTGGTGAGTCCTCTGTTTAACATAACCTAACATTCCTCTGCTCTGCTACTGATTCTGATTCTAACCAGTGAACCATCTCCCTGCAATGAACAAGAAATAACCCACAGTGTTTTAAACCGATTTTGACGGAGGATACTGTATTATTAATTAACGTACGCAAAAGTCATATTTATATAGAGATGTAACAGAATTGTCTTAAACTATTGCAGTGTTATATACTATATAGTACGTTGTGCTTATCTATCGAGATACAGTGTGTACATGTATTCCTGTTCGACGATGCTCGGGCCACAGACACATATAAAATACTTTTAAACAACAGATAGTTAAACAGATGTTGGGGGAGTATAACAACTGTACCAAACACAAACCATTTCATAGTGAAGTGGTTCAAATCATTTTGCTCCCAAAGAGCTGTCAATTATAGAGAATACGGTGAAGTCACCTAGTTACCAACAAGCTTAATTAAAGTGAAGCCAGAATGGGTTTTAAAATTAACTTCCAGTGGGTTTTCTCAGCAAAGCTGTTAAACAATTTGATTAGGGGAAAGGCAGGGTGAAGTTTCTGCTTGTGAATGATACATTGGCTGCAATTCAGTGCACTGGTTCAGTGGTATGGCCCCAGAATAGATTTGTAACAGAAATGCACACAAGAAAAGAGAGAGACTTGCTAAAATAACAGCAATATCCTTGTACAGTATATGGGACATAGTAATTAACAGGGAATGGCCTAGCAGCACTGTGCTTCACTGTTTGAAATGAATTCCCTTTCTTTGTATTTATTAAACTATTATTTTTAGTAATTACATAGCTAATTGATGTGAATATAATTTATAATACATTTAGGAGACTCCATACTGTTGATTCTTTGTGTACGATAGTGACAGTGTTAAGACTACTAGTGGCATAGTCGTGCAGTGTCGTGCATGTCCATCAAGTCCACACCAGCTCTCAGAGCAAGTCCATTGAAACCCAATGCCCTATCCTTATATCCCTTCAAGCCTTTATCTTTCATGCGCCTGTCTACTTCCGTCTTGAAACCCACAATGAACAATGGATTCTGTCTCTGCCACTTTACTTGGCAGGACATTCCACAACCCAACGGCTCTCTGTGAAAAATATTCAGCAGACTCCCAATACATGTATCTGTTTATCTATACTAATAGACAAAATGGCTGTCTGTCTGCCAAGAATGCAATCACTGATTGACGTAGAGACATGATTTATACCTCATCAGAAAGGTCTTGCATAGGGGAGCATCATGGGCATATTTTACTTTGGGGATCTCCTATCATTGATAAGCTATATTAAAAATATATATTAAAATCGCTTTAATTAAGTCCCCCAAAAAGTATGCATCGTATTCTGCAAAAAGTAGAGAAAGAGATCACACACTCTTCTAGAGAGATACATCTATACTATTAAAGACAAAATGTCTGTCTGTGGGTAGGAGTTCTCCTAACCAGGAGTCCTCCCAAACAGAAGTCCTCCCATAGTAGTCCTCCCACTGAGTCCTTCCAAAAGGATATGTGTGGAAATATGTGAACAAGGAATGCCAACAAGTTAAATAGCACATTTTCTTAATCTTAAGGGATAAGGTTGCCTAAGAAGTAAGGATCAAGCCTTTCAAGAAAAAATAAAAATGGCAGACGAAAGAGCGAAGGCCGATTAAATGAAATTGGTTGCAAGCATAGCTGCAATGGGTACAGCTAGTATATATATATAATGTCAAATGTAAGGATTATTATCAATACAATAATTATGCATTAAGAATATTTACTTAATAATTAACATGCATATATGAGGGGTCAGAGGTCAAGTGACTTTCTCCTTCCATTAGAATCAGTCTTTTGTCAAAATAGTCAAAATAAACACATTTCATTCATTAGGTCTGCAATGTCCTTCAAAGTTAAATGTAATAAATTTAACAGCATTTTAAATTTTGCTACTGTTTTAGTGTAGAATTATCACTTAGGTGGGGTACATAGAAGGTACTAATGCCTATGGACCGATAGAGATGAGGAAATGAGAAAAAAAGGAAAAAAGTGATGTGCTGCTAAACATGTTTATCTTGTATCTGCTTAAACCAAGTATGTGATAGACATTAAACACTAATACTAATTCTCCTTACTGCAGGGAAAGTGTTGAGAACCTAATCCAAAAGCACACCTATGCACGATCACCAATACGGACTTATGGAGGAGAGGATGATGGATTGGGAGATGAGAACCAAGCAGCGCAGACCAGAGGTAAGATGCAGTGCAGGGAGCAGAAAAACGTTTTGACTTAAAGGCTATAATTATACCTGCATATTGTTGTTTTCAGTACAGTACTAATTTCCTTTGCTTATTCCTATAACACTGAATGAGAAAAACTGTTCCCAGCATTTGCATCTAATGGAGTTTTATCATTCAGTGCTCATCAAAATTTAGTGTTTGTTTTGCTAGGCCTTTATAATCTGCTTTTCTGCTATGAAGCGGTGGCGAAAAGCCATTAGCCTTAGTGGTCAGAGTAGGATTTGAGCTCCAGGCTCAACATCAAGCACTTTCAGGTCAGGTACAGCATCATGTTAGATACATAATAAAACTCCTCTCTGTTCCAACAATGTACCTTAATGCCAATCCCTGAAGAGCAACTCCACAAAACAAATGGGGCATTTCCAGTTCCACACCATTAGTCTCTCTGAGTGTAAGTGGCAATTAATAATGATAATCCTTACATTTGATACAACTCCTTTCAGGTCAACAAACTTTGCTCAGAATTTATCACTAGTAGGAACTGAGTGGGTTGACATAGCCCAAAACTTTTTTCATGTGGACCTATCCACAAAAGGATAATTTTGTCTCACCAATTCATGACCCAACTGTGCAGCGCCTTGGGACGTCCTCCTGATGTGAAAGGCGCTTTATAAATGGAATCTTGTTGTTGTTGTTGTTATGTTAGTTTTAAACACAGCTCCAGAGTTACCCGTATAGACCCACAGTCCTTCAGTATGATGCAGTATGAAATATACAGCATACAAAATTTGATCTAACAGAACAGGAGTGACCCACTAATTAAACACACTTATTTACCACCAAAAAAAAACAATGAATAAAATATGTCTATGTTTGCCCCTCATTGTCTAAATTCTACCCTCCTTTCCGGACTCCTGCTGGGCACAATTCCATGGGCACTGGCCACACTTTGGGAGCTCACCCAAATGACCATGCTTCATTGGGTGAACCTGGGGACAGTGAATGTTGATACAAGCAAACATTAGGGATATCAGAGACAAAACTATTCCTATTCTCAGCCAACATCTGCACACATAAAGTTTCCAGGATGCACCACTGAATAGTGATTAGGAGTGGGCATGTGACTGATTTCCCTCCCCAGCCCAGCCCAGTCTGGGTAAAACACCCAATTAACTCAGCAAAGACCAATGATAAAACCTGGGATCTTCTCAGTTTGTCATGGTTTGATTGCACCATGGGCAGTCAGTCATCAGGAAAATTTTTTTTTAGTATTTGAAAACAGGAATATAATGCTCAAGTCACCACACTCTCCCAAGCATAGTAAAGGACAATTGTATTCATCAGCAATTCATCAGAAGTGCCTCCATTTTATAAATCTAGAGAGAGTTTTTCCAAATGTGTAGAAAAGCTCTTTGTAATAATCCTATACATTATCATATTACCAACTATTCATTCATCCATGAGAGTTTACTAACTAAAAGTTTTAGGTTACAAAGTGTTCTTTAAAAAAACCCAATAAGGCCCTAAAACATTAATAGTACAATTTTCTGTATCTTGAAATATCTATGATTCAGTTTGTTACATTAGTGTGCAATATAAATGTTATAATTTCTGATATGCTGACTTTACGATTGGCTAAGAGTTCAGTAAGTCACTTAGTACAAATTGTTGTTGATTTGCGCAGATCCAGGGACACTTTAAATTGTTCATCAGAAATGAGTGAACTGCTATCAGCATCCTGACAGAATACATTGGCCACTTTATTTAAGAATACCGTATATGAACATGAAAGAGACACATAGGGAGAAGACACCTTTGAACCCATGAAAGCTCATTCCTTTATTACGTTATCTTTCCTGATATGAAGCTTTGACCTGAATATCGATAATATTTTGTCTCGAATGCCCTTGCTTGGTAGAATTTTCTACATATTTATTCGTTTTCCAGCAAAAACAATTCTTTCTAATACCTGCTTTAAAACTGTTCTTTTCTGATTTAAATATATGTTATCTTTCACCTGCAAAATACAGCCCACAAAACTTTATAGAGTATCCTGTAAAGGCATTTGAGACATTGTCAATGTGAAAGGTGCTAAATTAATTTTTAAAAATGTACTTTGTCCTACTTTCTTAGACTAACCTGAAATAATATTCTAGCTGTGACCTATCTATGTACTCTATATTTTACATATCACAACCGTCTTTTTTCTAGTTTGTAAAAGTAAGGTTCTCATCTTAATTTGTGCAGTTTAGAGAGAAGGTGATTGAGAAGGGATCTTATTGAGGGATACTAAAATAATATTAATGGTCAAAGACAAGATTGTCTTTTTTGTATTGTAACCCTTTTAAACCAGTTATCAGTTTTGATGCTCTTATCTGCACCTTTTCGAAAGCTTGTGGATCGTTTTGCGGTAACTTGAATTGATCACAGCTTTGCTTTGAAAAGTGTGAGATAATACATGCAAAGATAGTACATATTTGCTCTTTACTGACATCATTCAATAAACAACAGTTTTACTTTAAACTAGTTGCAATTATTAGTGGCACTTGTTGAAGTTTCATTTCTTAAATATTTTTGTAAAAGGCAGAAAAACTAAAATAAACTATAGAAAACTGCAAAACTGAATAAATGAATGGTTACTACTAATGAATAAATAGTGGCCATGGTATTTCACATTAATAAAACAATAATTATTTCACATAAATCTATGGTAATGATTTTGTAATTATGAATTCCACAAATTTAATCCACAGCTAAATGATCTTTTATAATTATTATTGTAGAAGCACCACACTAAAATGGGTTAAGGTACTGGATGGATTCTTTGTATTAATTAAATATTCTAAAATAACCTTCTACATTGGCAGTGGTTCTGATCTCTTGTCTTGATTCTAAATGGTTTTGTTTTGTTTCTTTTACAGGGTCAGCATTTACAACTTCAGATAACTTATCCCTGAGCACCTGGTTAACATCCTCCTCCGGTTTCTCAGGTTTCCAGCACCCTCCGTCCCTTGCTGCAATTGCCACAAGCACGGCTTCACTAGCAACGCCCATTCCCCATCCCATGCAGGGTTCATTGCCTCCCTACAGTCGGGTTGGAATGCCCCTGACACCATCTGCAATCGCAAGCTCCATGCAAGGAAGTGGACCCACATTCCCCACATTTCACATGCCCAGATATCATCACTATTTCCAGCAAGGGCCGTATGCTGCTATCCAAGGACTGCGACACTCCTCAGCTGTTATGACGCACTTTGTTTGATTCGTTAAATAGTGGCTCATTTCACACAAGGGAATGTGGCATTTAGGAGTGATGGACTGAGCTCTTAGACATGCCTATGGTAGAGCAATTCAAAGGCACAGACTGAGCTATCACTCCCACAGATACATTGTCACACTGCTACAAATTTCAGAATGCATTGATACAACTGAACTACCACTCCTAGAATGCATTGCCACCAATTGAACAACAGCTGCTACAATGCATTATTGTAAAACAACTGCAAACTTTCGAGATGCAGTTTCTCCTTCAACCCCTTCTTCTAACAGAACCTGTCACTGGAATGAATTGCGAACACTACACTGGATTGTGAGAGCCAAATCGGGTTGCTTTAGGTGGCAGTCTGCTCAATCGGTAGCACATTCACCTCTGGGTCACAAGGTTGTGAATTCAAGCCCCCATATCAGGGCTTGGACTCATGGTCTAGCTTGACACTCTACTCCATACTGGGGGAGCACTGTATTGCTGAAGGTGCAGCTCTTGAGATGAGATGTTAATCCTAGTCTGCCTATTCAAGTGGACATTAAAGATCCTACAACACTATTGAAATAAAGAAGTGTCACCTGGCCAATGATACTCCAACTGGAATTGTGACCTGGCTATTATGGGACCCTACTGTGCAGAAAAATGGTTGCCATTTTTGCCTACAAAAAGAGTTACTACCTGCAATAATTATTGTGAAATGCTTTTGAGATGGTTCAATGCTATGAAAATGTAATTTCTGATTTGCCACATGACAATATACCATACCACCATAGTTCTTATACTACATTCCTAGAATAGAATGCATTATGATGGTGAAACACAAATGTCTAAGGTTTGTGCTGTAATGCACTGCGCAGAATAACGTAAAGACAGCCCTCTTACCTTTAGTTGCCAGGTCAGGTAGATGAAATAAAGGGGGAGGAGAGGGGGAAACTGAAGAATGTGTATTAAAAAAAGTCATTATGGGAGACAGCCTGGATATACAGTGGGAGATGCAGTTGAAGATGAAAAGGTGTTGTGGAGTTTCTAGATGAGGAGAGATTGAATGGGCTTCGAATAACAATGGGGAACAGGAAATATGTTGCTGTTCATGCTGCAGGCAGCAATATTGTAAATAAACACATGCTGAATATATGGCTTAACCGTTGATAGTAGACTGGAGAAGGGAAAAGCTGCAGAGCATCACAGGTTACAGCCTCTGCCAACTCTGTAAGTGGTGTGGCAACTTATTCTCCAGAGACTGTAAGTTCATTAGTTGCCAATTTTTGTTGGTTGAAAAAATCAATAAAATCTCTTTGGGAATAATTATGCAATCTCATTTAATTTAAGTTGTGACTTTTGTCTCATCTAATAGCACTCTTGCCTTTAGGTCATTCTTGTCTGTGGGTCAGTTAGTTGTGGGTTCAAGTCCCACATCAGGACTTGAATTTAGGGCTCCAGAGCATTACTGGGGGGAATGCTGCATTGTCAGATTTGCCATCCTTCAGGTGAGACATGAAACTGAGATCCTGAATGATTTTTCTTCTGGATGAACATTAAAGATGCCATGGTACTATTGAAAAAGAGAAGGGAATTTCTCCCATTTGTTCTGACTAACAATCCTCCAAATAAATTGGTCACTCACCTTATGACTGTTTGTGGGACTCTGCTGTGTGAAAAATGGCTGCCGCATTTGCTTATATAAAAAAAGTCACTATACATGACAGTAATTACTGTAAAGTACTTTCAGAGGTTTTTAACATTATTGGCGCTATAAAAATGCAAGTTCTTTCTTTAAAGGCCCCTCAGCCAGTTGTGATGTGTGTAATAGTTACATAAGCATCTCCTATTCAGCAAATGTGTGTGCGTGCCACTAGATACCCAATAGAATGTATCAAAGTTGCGCTGCAGCTTGCTGTGTTCATTGTTTAATGTTTATACCATTTGTGAGCACGTTCACTCTGTTCATTTTTTAAAAAATACTGTGTTTTGCCTCATGTAGATTATATCAGAAGAAATTGTGGAAATACATCTATTAAGAATTGTTTTCTAAAAGTGCAATATATTTATTTCTGCAGGAGTTGATATATCTATGTAATGTAATATTTGAAACATAAGATTAAAAATTGAATAATATTTGTAAACAGCGACGGAAATGTCTGTATAATCACAAAATAAACGTATCATATATCGGGGACGGGATGCGGTGTGTTTCATAATACATTTGATGTGGATCAAATGCGTTATGAAATGTCACAAATTTCACTGATCAATGCAAAGGTGTTTGTGTCATTTTCTCTCAGAATATGCCACGTTTGCTTGTCAAGGTCTGAGTTTAACAGTGGATGTTATTTAGTCATGGATGTGGATTAATTATAGCTTTTTTTGTATGTTTTTGTTTGTCAGACATGTATTTTGATATATCACTGCTCTTTGTCCTTTGCAAAAACAAATGAAAATCTTGTCAGCTTCTAAAAGTCCAAGTTTTCCAGTCTTACTTTTATATGAATGTAAAGTATAGTCATAGGCACTCAGTTACGTTCATCAACAAGGCACAAGAGTTCTCCATTTCTCAGGTGAAGTCTGACATTTCTCAAATGAAGCCTGTAGTCCATGGCTGGATATCCTGTGCAATACCTTAATTGTACCTCAACTACTAAGCTACCTGATGTCAGTTGAGGTATCTACATTAATGTAGAGCTACAACTACCTTGGGTTAGGGAAGAAAAAAACAGCCATGGTTCTCTAGTAAATAATCACCATCCTGTGCTGGAAGGCATACAGATGTCAGAATCAGGTGAAGCACGATTGAGTGTGACTGTGATAGCTTTCCCAGAGTTGAATAGTCAAAGGTTCACAAGTGAAGAATAGTCACTTTAGAAAGGTACACTAAGCTTGATTCAGATCCCTTTGAATAGGAATAGAAAGATGTGAGGAGAAAAATACATCTCTGATTTAGGTCCTCCATTCATAGTCTCCAGCATGTAACACTTGTACCAATGCAAATGGGGAGAAATTCCACTTGGGTCTAAAATTGTTCCACTTATGCACTCTCTTAGATCACCTAGAACCTGGCAATTTTTTAATTCAGCCTTAACTTCTTAAAAGAAAGTTAAAGAAAAATGGCTTCAAAATCAAGATTGTATTGGAGAATTTGCCTAATTCTGATACTCTAAAATATTGCATAACTAAAGTAAATCTAAACCAAGGTGGAAATTTCTCCCCAATTATTTCCATGAATTTCCTCCATTGGTACATTTATTTGTGTTTCAGTCACTGGAAAAGCCTGCTCAGAAAGCTCCCTGACCTCTGAGGTCATGTTGATGGTCAAAGACACTGACCTGTGAGTTTATCATGACCATCAACATAAGTTAACGTAAACCATATTGCTTTTGGAAACAATTTGATTTTTATTTCTCCCATCGTTGTTAATTTTCAGTACCTTATTGCTGTCCGGCACTTAAAATATAAACCTTTCCAGTGACTGTCACCAGGTTATTCAATTACAGGGAGCTTCACAGTCAAAACTGATTCTGTCCTCACCCAGTATCTACATATAACACCAACAAAGTTACTGTACTAAGTGCTCTGAGATGGTACCTTACATGAAGGATCTGTATACACATTGTACACAAATACACAAGATATACATATACCCAACTCAAGTGTGTAAGTGGGACCATGTCAAATAAGTAAAGAATTCACCCACAAAACACTCAGTCACTACAGTTTATGATATATCCTGTGAAGCACTTTGAGATGTCCTACCAACATGAAAGGCACTATACCAAATGTAAGCATTATTGTATGTACAATTTAGAGCCTAAACTATTCAGTTGACTAGAATCAGCTTGTGTCAGATATTGAAAAGTTCCACTTTGGAATTATTTATTATTTTATTGTTTGTTTTACAATTTAACATTTGCTAGCTTTTGTTCCACAATAAAATAAAGATAAACATCTTTTATTTCTGTGCAAATCATTAAACGTAGTATCACAGTACATTTGCTTTTTGGAAGGCTTCATTAACATACAAACAGTAATCCATCAGTATATAGTAACTAATGCAAACTTATTTTTATTCAAAAACCCAGTTTATTTAAAACTATTAGCTATTTTAGACAGAATAATTAGCAATGGATTATTGTGGAGCTCACAATTTGGTGAAAAACTTTACATATAACTCTACATCCCTCATCCAATAAATTTTTACTAGTGATTGAGCAATACAGATATCTACAACAATCACTTGCATTTCTACAACAGCCTTCACACTGGTAGCATCTCAGAGAATTCAATAGTCTTCCCATATTTAAGATTGCAAAAAACAATTACTTCTCAGTTCTTGTAAGAATTTAAATAAAATCATAATTATTCTGGCTTTTAAAGTTCTCAAGATATTGATACATTTTATGTCACCTTTAGTTACTGTATATAATTAATTAATATAAAATGTATCAATATCCTAAATGAAGTGTATAACTTTACAAAAAATATGTGGTAGGTTAGAGGAGACCCAGTTACCATTCTTTCAACAACATCAACTTGCATTTACATAGCGCCTTTCACGCGGTTTGGTGTCCCAGAGAGTTTCAAGTGAAGTCTGAAAGTGTCCATTAAGCACCTTAAAGTTCACTAAGCAATAAAATCTATATGGGGAAAATGTCAGAGAATGCCCTTAAGATGTTTTAAACTCTTTGGCTTAGTATAGCATATGAATAAAGGCAATTCGGCCCATCAACTCACTCGTTCTAGTCAGGCAAAACCTACCCTATCAATCCCTCCCACGCTTCCTGCTGGAAAGTTTTAATTAGATACTTCCTAAGTTTTATTTCATGTTATTTTGAATGTGTACCTATTACTGAATACTTGAATACAGTAGCAATCTCAAGCACATACTTATCCAGTTCTGTTTTGAAGAAGTTAGTCTCACATAATCAATTATTTTTGTTGGACGTCTGTTCCTCATATCCACTAATCTATGACAAGTGTAATCTTTAGCCATGTTTGAGGAATGTTGATTTATAGTTATAGTTTTGTGCTCATGATTGAAGTCAAACAGCGTGATTATCAACTATGCCGCCTATTATTTTGAAGAACTACAATATGTTCCCTTTCAATCTTTATTTTATTAATGTACCTAAGTTCTGCTTTATTTATTTCTTCCAGTAACTTAAACCCTTAAATTCCAGAATCATCTGTATTGTTCTTCTCTGAGCTCTCTTCAACATTTCAATTCCATTTAAACAACAACAAAATTACATTTGTATAGCACCTTTCACGTCGGGAGGACGTCCCAAGGCTCTGGACAATCAGTGTTTCGGACCCGAGCTGAGGGTTGGGATCAGGGATTATGGAGGGCAGAGGGGGGGAAAGAAAGGTGACCAAAGGCACGGTCGAAGAGGAGGGTCTTGAAATAGGTCTTGAAGGAGGCAAGGGAGGGGGTGAGGTGGAAGTACAGCGGGATGGAGTTTCAAAGGGTGGAGCAGAGTGGCAGAAGGCCCGCCGCCAATGGGGGCTGAGCGAGGCAGAGGATGTGAAGCAGGCCGGAGTCCGCTGAGCAGAGGGAGTGGGCAGATTGGTGCAGGGATTAGAAGGTTATTGATGCGGGGGGGGAGCAAGGCCATGGAGGGCTTTGAAGGTGATGACCAGGTGAGGACTGTATCCTCTGTGTGATGGGATGACAGTGCAGAGCAGTCAGGGATTTCGACCTAAGCCGGGGGGTTGGTATCAGGGAACGTGGAGGACAGGGAGGAAAGGAGGGTGGCCAAGGCACATTCAAAGAGGAGGGTCTTGAGACATGGCTTGAAGGAGGCAAGGGAGGGAAGGATGGGGGTGATAGGGTCGCAGAGCCTGGTGTGGGAGAGGACACGGGCTGCAGAGTTCTGGATGATCTGCAGCCTATGGAGGGAGGAGTTGTGGAGGCCGACAAGCAGGGAGTTTGCATAGTGAAGCCTGGATATTAAGAATTTGTGGTATGAGGGTCTCTGTGGCCTGTGGTGTGAGACAGTGGTGAAGTCGAGAGATGTTGCGGAGGTGTGGGAAGGCAGAGCGGGACATTCAAAGTTAGAGACCGACACTGCACAGAATATGCTAAGAACATCCTGTTCTCCTTTTCACCTCTGTTAACAGGTAACCCTTGTTGCTGTAAGCAAGACAATATCAGAGTCTAAAATACGGGCTGGGCTAATACTTACTTGGCAAATATATAAATTTATTATATGTTAATTACATTAATTATGTAATTAAACTCCAACAAAAATGGTTACAACTGATTGTGTAATTTTATTATACAATAACATACTAAATTATACTCACAGAGCCCCTTTCACATCGGGAAGATGTCTCAAGGCCCTGAGCAGTCAGGGATTTCGACCTAAGCCGGGGGGTTGGTATCAGGGAACGTGGAGGACAGGGAGGAAAGGAGGGTGGCCAAGGCACATTCAAAGAGGAGGGTCTTGAGACATGGCTTGAAGGAGGCAAGGGAGGGAGCGAGGTGAAGGGACTGAGTGATGGAGTTCCAAAGGGTAGGGGCAGAGAAGCTGAAGGCCCGACCATCAATGGTGGGGCGGGCTGGGTAGGGGATG